TTATTAATAACTTACTTTAAAAATATTAAAATTTAATTTATAAATAATTATGATAAATAAAATTTGATTTAAATAAAAAGTTAAAAACATTTCTAAATACTCTCTTATTGAAAAAATAAATTCTTAAAATACTGTTGTGTAAAATAAAGATTTATATTTAATATATAGAAATTGATTATGATAAAAAAAGAAGAAAAAAACTCGTGTTATAGGATTAATATTTTTAACATCTATGATTAGATTCGAATTTTTATTATATGATGTTGTAAACTCAGAATTATTATTAAAAAAAAAAGAATTGAATGACGAGTGCTTATTGACTTTTGCAAGATTGTTGATAATTGACTTTTGTAACAATAACTTAAAAAATCATGTGTAAAGATTTCTAATTAGTCGATACTTGATAGTGTAAAAATCTTTTCACCGAGTATAAAAAGCGGGGTCAATAGCTGCTACATCAATACATACCAAGCAAAAGAGGTCCAACGCATGGAAAAATCTCTCCCTCTTGACTCAGAATCACTTGGTTTAGGCCTAACCCTGTGGGCTGTGTGTTTCTTAGTATACTAGTATAGATCATATAGATGCCATAGAGTCCAAAAAATAATACTCCAGGCCTGCATGCTCCAGCAAAATTGCCAACAAGCAAATAGATGTGTCCACAATTTCTCAGATGGCAAGAAAGCTGATATTACAACTGATGCAGCAACAGTGAACACCTTCATCAGTTCATAATTGTAGTGGATATGATGCTCATCTCTGGCTTCATCAGACCTCTCATCAACAACCAAAAAACAGACATTGTGCCATCAACAGGCTACTGCAATACCAAAAGGGTCGGCGACTAAAGGTGTTTTCTGGAACTTGTTCCGAAGCTGACCACAAGCTGCATTTGCATCCAGTCCTCGTGTTTGACGTACACTAACAGTTATTTTAGAGGATTCCAATGCACCAGCAAACGCTAGCACCTACGAAATGAGGAACTTTAGGTTAAACATCCAAAATTACAAAGATGACTCAAACCATGAACCAAATCATGTTTAAAATGAACAAAAGATAGGAAAATTATCATACTGCACGCTTGGAAGGACGCTGATACTCAGAGCCTTCTATTGGATTGAAGGGTATCAAATTGACGTGATATCCACTGCCCGATTCATGGAGTAATTCAGCAAGTTCTGCTGCATGGTGTGCCGAGTCATTGATTCCAGCTGCTCAAACATAATGCCAAGGAAGTGCCATGTACATTATAAGTATTCCACCAAACTTTCTATACAATAAGGAAATAGTATAGTATGTATGGGAACTTCCAATACCTAAAAGCGCATATTCAAAGGAAACCCGCCTACTAGTTTCGAGAAAGTAATCTCTGCAATCTGTCATAAGTGCATCCAGCGGGTAGGATTTTGCACTTGGAACAATTGTCTCCCTAAGTTTCTGGTTAGGAGCATGTAAGCTGATGCAAAATACAAAAGAAGATTCACATACTAGAATATATGTATATGCATCTGAAAGAAACCATTAAAAAAATATCTGAAGCAGGTGGGAGAGGAATCAGTTTAGCAAGAGATTATCAGAGCATTCTACTAAAAAAAAAGGAAGGATGATAAAAAGAGCAATACCATCTTAAGGTTTATACTTCAACTGACTTAATAGAAAGTGCACTTGCAACATTCCAGCAGTGCTAATGATGTGGATAAAAGCATGAGTTAATGGAACAAAAAACACATTGACAGATGGAAGTTTAAAATTTATCCCAACTTTTGAAGATGTCATGAAGTTGTGTTGAGCAACACCTAATAATATAAAGATTCAAGATGCAGAGCTAGATATTTCTTCACCAGGGTCATGAGTCAATTAAGATTTATTTAGTCGCAACAAATCTGACACATCACCTTCACCAATCAAGCAAAAGAAATAACTGCAGCAAATTATAAGCATAAAGGGCACCAGCTACTGTGGCTGGCTGGCATCCCAAAGGTCTAAATACTGATGCAAATTCCATTTTGCTACCTGACATCTAGGGCTCTAGCTTAGCATGAAGAGTAAAATTAATGGCAGGTCTAAATTATATTTAAATCAAAGGTATTTACCTCACAGCTAAAGTAGATTGAAGTTTACAAGAAGCAAGTTTCTTTATTGTATTTGGAACACCCACAGTGGAGATGGTAATCATTCTTTGCCCAATTCGCACATCCTACAAGAAACACATCCTACATAAGAACACATTATGCAGACACAATGACTTCTTGAAGTTTTGAAGGAGAGAACATATGTAAGAACGTAATTTTATTGCATGTATGCACTTCTATTGAAGATAAATAACATATGCAATCCCACGTGGCATAAAGGAAGTCCATAAAGTCTCCAAACAACATTCCTTGCCCTTCACCCGCAAGGAAAGATAATACATTATGTAAATACATGAAAGTTTGATCTCTCAATATCATAGAAAACTGTTACAATTACAAGTAAGTATTTGGAAATTGGAAGGAAATTATGTCACATATAATAGTCACTCGTTCACCTTATTCAAGCAATGGTGTGCTTCAAGTACTGCCTTCAGGTTTAACATTGGTTCACCCATTCCCATAAACACTACATTTGTCACCCTGCGCTTGAAGACCTCCTCGATGGCCAAGACCTGTTCACATAAGATGAATTTTATTTCTGACTTACAGTAAACAAAGTCAAGCTTGCTACAGAACATTTACAATCCTAATTGCAATGACAATGTTCAAACCTCTTATTTTTACTTTATACATTCTTTTGCCTTTCTCTCTATAATTTCTTTAAATTAATCTCAATACACCTGGGAATCTATTTCACCAACCATGCAGGTAATCTAAAATCAAACTGATTCAACAGACAAACATGGATGAGATACAACACAAACCTGTTCAACGATTTCGTGTGCCTTGAGATTCCTTGAAAACCCCCCTTTCCCAGTAGCACAAAAAGAGCAGCGTAAAGGGCAACCAACCTAAATATCCAAACAACAGATGGCGATAACAAAATAATGGAAACATCAGCACAAATTTTCACATAAACAACAAAAATAGTTTCCAGATCCACTTTACAAATACTCCAGCAAAGAGGGAAAACAACAGTTAATTATTTAATGATTCAGGAGCCAGTGCGACACCTGTGATGAGACACATGCTGTGAGGCGAGTCACACAATCATCAGCCATAACCGGAATGCCAACTGTTTCAATCAATCTATTGTCCTCCAACTTTAACAACAACTGCAAAATCAAATGCCAACCCAAAAAAATGTAAAAAACCAAGGAAACACCCACAATCGTATTCATTAAAGAGCAACTAAACATCCAACTTTATGCAAGTGCCATTTATAACCCCAAACAAAACAACTCAAATCCTTGCCCAAAAAAAAAAGAATTGGAACTTATCCACATAATGATTCGAACAAAACTTAGGTAAAATTCTTTAAGTACAATTAGTGTTGTTCTCTAATCCAAATTGCAGTTTTATCTTGGTAATATGCATAAATGTATATTACTAAAGTTTGTATTTAATGTAAATGGATATTATTGACATAAACATCATTTCTAATTAGAGAAAGTTTTGTCCAAATCGATATCGTGCAAACATGAGGACATCTCAAAACACAAGATGGTAATTGGGAACTAAAACAAAAATCCATCAAAACACAATTTAAAACGTTCTGTTGAACTATGATTACACCCTTACCTTAACAGTTCCATCAGCTGCAGTAACAGTTTGGAAAATAGGAGAGCGCCCCACCTTCCATCCAGCTTTCTCAAGAGCTTTCCTAAACCCCAAAGGCACTGAAATTCAAGAAACCAAAAGCCTCAACCTACGCAAAATCAACAAAAAAAAAAAAGAAAAAAAAAAAGAGGGAGTTGCAAATAAAAACAAAAAAAAATAGTAAAGAATATACCCACACTGAGAGAAATCCTGAATTTCTTTGACCTTCCTCTGGTATATAAAATGATAAAGTTGTTTTCCCCTGTAGCTTTCCTGTGAAAAAAAAAAAAAATTCAATTTAAACCTCTCATTGTTCTATAGTTTGCTCCAATTGAATGGGAAAAGGTGAAAAATTTACCTGACCAAAGTCAATTGCAAGCTGTTGCAGCTTCTTCTCGGACAAGCCGAGGAGAACCTGAGAGTCGGAGTTGGCGCGCGGGGAAACGGGTGCGTGGACCATGGCCGTGAAACAAGGTCGCACGTGCGTAGGAGGGGGAGGGCGCAGCGCACGTGCGAGGGGCATGGAGATGGTGCAGTGCTGAAGTAGCGCCAGCATTATGGAATAGATCTTACCTTCTCTTCTTCAGTCTTCGCTTGAGCTTTGAGAAGATAATCAAACTGACGGAGCGGCTTTATCCGTATCCATATAAGACTCACATTTTCTTTTTAATATAGTTATTTTATATTTAATATCGGATTCAAATCCCTCGACAAAGGGGTAGATTTAAGTAAATATTAAAAATATTGGTGTGAAATTAATTTTGTTGTTTAGATTTAATTTTTTTTTTGTCTGTGTAATTTAATAAAATTTTATTTGAACTCTTATGACTAAATTTGGTTTGTAAATATGTGAAATAAAATCCACCTATTATTAAATTTATTATACAAAATTTATTTACTATTATTTTATTAATAAAAGTGTTATATTAAATTCTATTAATATTATATAATTGTATTGATTTATCACTTTTTAATATATTATGAGTGGTTACAACAATCTAAAATAGATTTTTTTAAAAAAAATTATAAAAACTATAAATATCAAATTTAAATTTAAGGTATAAAATAAATCTATCCTAAATTTAAAAGAATATAAGCATACTTAAACCTCAAATATTTAGTTAAATTACAATTAGAATCTATTATCATCTATCAAAACTTTACTATTTAACTTATTAAGTCATCTATTTAATTTTTTAGATTATAATATGAATTTGGTATTGTCCTCTCTTTGTCTTGTAACGACTATAGATCAAAATTTTTACACTCTATCAAATTTAATTATTTTAATTATTAAGTTATTTATTTTAATTTTTTTTAATTATAACATGAATATTATATATTGAACTCTCAATTTTACATCACATCACCTTTTTTAATATAATTTTACTAAATAATTTATTCTATCAATAAATATAATATTTTTAAGTGATGGTTGAATAATTTATAAAATGACAAGTTAGAAAAAAAATTAATTAATATTACATTGAAAAGTAAAAAAATATCTTTTATTTTAGAACAATTTTCAAATGTTAAAACTGCAATCATTGACAAAAGGAATATTTTATTTCATTAGAAGATCACATGTATTTAGAGCTGTCAAAATGGGCCAGCCCGGCCCATATGGGTCGGCCCACCTTGACCCATTTTTAAAGCGGGCCAACCTAACGCAGCATACTTTTAATTTTCTCAAAAAAAAATTTGGTCCGGCCCGCCCACCAAAAATTAAAAAAAAAATTATTAACAAAATTCAAATTTTAAAATTAATTATAAATTAACATAATAGTCATAAAATTAGCATCATTAATAGCCATAAGTCATAATTCATCATACAAAATCAAATTCAAATCATGATAAAAGTCCAAAATAAAAATTTTCAATATCTTATCATATAAAATTAACTACAAATCATACTTAAATTTTCATTACAAAAAAATTGGTGGGCTGGTGGGTTACCCGGCCTACCACGGGTTCGCCCCGGATGAAAGTGGACCGGGTTGAAATATACCCACTTACTATAAAACTTCTATTTTTTTAGCTCGGTCTGGCCCATTTTTAAGATGGGCCGGTTGACCCACAGGCCATAACCCATTTTAACATCTCTATATGTATTCTCTACCAAATGGTTGTAAGTAAGATCAACATGAGTCGTAAAATTCTATTCAAATATTTAATATAAATGTATAGAAAGATTTGAACTTAAAACCATTCGTTAAGTTGAAACAACTCCATATTTAAGTTAGTTCATGTGCTGATTGGTAAAACTATAATATATATAATATTATTGAATGAGTTAATTTTTTTTATTCTTATTCAATATTAAATATATTTTAAAATTAATGAATATGTATTTATTTAATAAAATAATATTTTATTAAATAAGTTATATACTTTATTATTTATTTTTTTATACGATGAATATAAGCATAAAATAACTTATTTTCTTTCATTTCCTTTATACAATAAATATAAATTTATAAACCAAGTTTTTTTTAATCAATCAATCTTTATTTATTAAGCACAAATCGTTATCTGATACTTAAGTATTTTTAGAAGTTTTCTTCAATGAGAGAGTTTGTAAAGATTATTTTAAATTTTAATCTAATTAAGTTTTTATTTATTATAATTATTTATAAATTAAATTATAATATTTTAAATAAATTATTAATAAATAAAAATTTAATATTTTGTTACAATATAAATTATTTATCATAAATCTAAAATATAACTTTTTATATATTCAAACATAATATTTATTTTTATATATAATTTATTATAAATTTTAATCATATATAATATTAGTTTTTAATTATATATAAATTCTTGTAAGTTGAAAGGAAAGTTTATGTATAAAGTTATAAATCATATACATGAAAATTAGACACCGCTAAAAAAAATAATATAATGACAATAGTTAATATATAATACTTTATTAGATTTTTTTTAAAAAAATTTAAGGATATTTTAAAATTGAAACACATGTATTTTAATCATTTAAAAGTTAAATATGAATAATTATATGAGTATGTAAATTAATTATGTTTTAATGATATTATAAATTTAATTATTGGTTATTTTAATGTCAGCATTTTTTCCCGCACGGTTTTTTCTAAATATTACTAACTCGTCGTCTATCAGAGCATGTATATTTTCTCACAGCAGGACTTTACGTGTAGCCATTGGATATGTTTATAAATTGTGTTTGTGTTGAATTATAGGAATCATACATACAAGGATAGAATAGAATTATAGAGACATGAAACTGAATGAATGATATTTATATGATGTAATGGTATATCTTGTTATTCTTTCAAACATATATATTTAGAATAATGTTACAAGCATTCATGTGATACCAGCTGTATTTTGAGTCTTTATTTTTCACTGTGCATGGCAGCACCCTTTGAGTTATTGATTTTGTCACTTGAGAGACGGAAGCTGATCCAATAGTGTAAGTACATACAACTTAGGACTTAGGACTTAGGAGTGTATTTACATCAGTTCTAGATTTATATTTTAAATTCACTATTTCTAATTTTTATCTTTTATCTTTAATAAATATTTTTCTTTTTCATATAATATTTATGTATAGATTTATATATATATATAATAATAATAATAATTTTTTATTTCTTAAATAATTTGTCTTCATTTACTCAAGTCATAAGTCTACTACAACCTATACAGCATTTGAAATCAGTTCTCTTGACAAAAGAAGTTGGAGAAGGATCTATTACTTGTACTATATCTCTTTCAAAGACAAATGAAAGATAAGATGATATATCATTTATCCATTTAAACGTTTAAGAGTTAGCATTATTTATTATTTTAGTATTTAACGAGTATTACAATTAGATATCAATTTCCTTATATCTACTAGTGCATTTTAATCATACTTAATGAATTGATCTCACTACTTCAAAATTTTAGAAATAGAAGTTTGGTATTTAATTGGCTCTAAAGTGCAAAGTTCATTTTTTTTATACCGAAGAATATAAGAAAAACAAACTAAGGTCTAAAATGAAGAATTCCGCTTTATCAGCTTACACGTATCTCGCAAAGTTCAATTTAAAATATTTTATTATCAACTTAATTAAGAAATAACTCTCGAAGAAAAATCAATCAAATTAGTAATTAGTAATATATACCAAAAGTAATATCAACTATTACGTATATATTTTAGTAAAGTATCGACTACAATTAATTTAAAAGTTATTTAAAAAATTGAAACAATATCATGTGAATAAATACAAGATGAATTAAATTAGTAATATATACTTGAAACAACATCAATTAAATAATCACATAAGTACTGCAAATTTTTTTTTAAAGTATTGATTGTAATTAAAAATATAAATAAGTAAATTAACATCAATTATATGATTGTAATTGAATTATACAATTATATTTTAAAAAATATCAATTTAATTATTTCAATTAATATCATTTATATAAAGCGATATGTGATGTTTTTACATTCTCAATAAACGATAAAGGAGGGGTTACAAGTGAGATACAAGTAAGGGGGCGTCCATGAATCAAATTTTTAAAAATTTAAAATTAATTGAATCAATACTTTTATAAAAGTGAACTTGAATTATTTTTGGATCAATTATTTTTTTAAAATATAGATTAAATCTTTTTAAATTGAATTGATATAGTACAATAATTCATTTTATATTTATATTAATTATTTTTTAAAAAATTGGAACAAAATGAAACTGATCTATTTTATAAAAATAAATAAAATCACTAGTGAAAAATTAGGATATTACGTCACCCATTTTACGTCAGAAATACAAACACCCGACGTAATAAAAACGCAGTGGCATGTTTCGTAATTTTTATGATTTTTTTACGTCGGACCTTAAAGGGACCGACGTAAATAACCCACATCCTGCTTAAAAGAAGGTGTGCGCGCATGGCTAGATTTCAAAAATTTCTTTCTCTCGCGCGTTGTGCACCTTCTTCTGCACCTCATCCCTCCGAAACCTCCTCAAGTTTCTTCTTCTATTTTTCTTCTTCGGAGGTTTCTTCTTCGCGTTGGTTTCTTCTTCGCGTTGGTTCCATACGTCCATCTGTTTTTCTATGAGGTAAGTTTCTTCTGTTTAGTTAAGGGATTAGTGGAACTTATTTTTAGAGTGATTATTTGAGGTTATGTTTATGACCAGTTTCAAGATTTTTTTGTAATCAACAGAATCAAGCTCAGATAAAAGAGGAGAAGATGAAGAGTGACCGTCAACAAGTAGTAGAGACATCCACGGATCCAACTGGGTTAGGCCGAGAATTTGTGTCGAAACTTGGGCTCTAAGAAGAAGATATAGGAGATGAAAGGAGCTCTGCGCTAGAACAGTTAAAAGATGAAGTCCAGATTTGGAGAACCTGCTCCTGGGTTTATCAAGCAGAACGGGCCGTTCTGCTTGCACTCGTTTTTTTTTTTTTTTAAAAATTTATTTAAATTTTTATGACTTTTTTACGTCGGTTTTTGCATCCCGACGTAAATTTACGTCTCCCGCTTCTACGTCGGAAGCTTTTCTGACGTAAAAACTCCTAAAATAGCCGATGTAAAATGTGTATTGTGTACTAGTGAATAAACATAACTAATTCTGCAAAAATAAATCGGTTTGTATTTTCCTCTGCATGATAGTATTTTCAAATACATGAATCAAATTGGTTACATAGTCCTTCACACAACACTCTTCTCTCTTTCCTATTTGAGTGAGTTTGAGAACTCTCTCACACACGTAACAAGCGATTACCTCTTACCTTTCTCCCTCTCTTCATCACCCATTTCTTACTTCAATGAAAAAAGAGCCAGAGATGTGATATAATAGGGTGCATTTAATCAATTCTTATGAATTTATAATAAAAACAAGAAAAGTGTGTATAGGAGAATAAAAACAATCATGGCCACCCCCTTCCCCTAGCTATGTTATGATCATCCACTACAGAAACAAGATAATTAACTTCCTCTTGAGCAAATATGCTGTTGTAATTCATTTTTGAACCAAGTGAATTGGTTATTCGATTGACAAATAATAAATTGTTCAGATGTACTTATCACCGAAATTATTATGAATATATATATATGCAATAATGTTCCTTAACAACATTGTGAAACAAAATATTTTAAAAATAATAAAATTGAAATCAAAGTAATTTAAATACTAAGAATTTAAAATTTTTTGAATTTATAAAATTACTTATCCAAAACACACTACTAGAGTTGCTATTACATCTTAAGTTGCTTTCTTGTCAACACGTCAAGTTTTAAAATAAATAAATGCAGTAGAATAGATGTAAAGATTTTTTTGTATATATAAAGATTTTCGTTTCTCATGCTTTGCTATCCTAGCAAACAGTATCCTTGCAAATCTGATAATTTTTTTAATTTGTTTTTTTTTCTAATTTAGTTGCGAATATAATTCGGAAGGTAATAAATGGAAGAAAACTCCATAAGTAATATTCCATTTTACTAAATAGGAGAAAATTCCATACGTATAATTTCCTGCAAAACTTTTTGTGAAGTTGAATTTGAAGAAAAATAAACAATTAATTTATTTAAAATCATTTTAAAATTTGATACACATTTTTACTATCAATAAATTAGTAGTTAATCTGAAACTAATTTTTATTTTTGTTTTCTTAATTTTTCAACATGAAATCACAAATTAATCTGTAATACACACAAACCCCATTTGTGACGACTAATGAGTGCTTAATTTTCTTCTAATTAAACCCGAACATTATATATATGTGGGCTCGCTCTCTTCATCTCACTCATTATCTTTGTCCTAACATTTTCTACTATCACTTTTCTCTCCTCTGTCTCTAGTAAGTTACCTTTCTTATTGCAATTAATGCGGGTTTTTCCTTTCCTTCTCTCTTAACGATAATATATCTACGTATTAAAATATTGCTTTCTAAGTTGACGAAACTTCCTATGCTTTCTAATTGATTGCTCTCAATTTTTCGATGTTTTTTCCACACGGTGGTGTGGCAATGAAACTAATAATTTCTTATTAATTTGGGATGTCTTTGAACTTGGGACTTCATTACATGCAATTTTAGCTTTTTCTATTATTCTTAAATTTCCCACGCACGTAAGGAGTTCAATGAAATGCTCATAAACAAAGTTAAACCCATAAGTATTGTTGTGCTTTGATTCAAAATTAATAGAAGTTGTCTTTTAAACACTTTTAATTTAATTTAATTTTTTTACTTTTAGTTAATTTAATATTTCGAGATTTTCTTTTTTGCGGTTGATGTGTATTTTTAGAATAACGGATCACTAAAAAAATTATAAAATTGGGGAAATAATTATAGATGAGAAGTAAAGCCCGCTTGATATTAGATTCAATATATATTGAATGCTCAAGTTTGCATATTTAGTTGTTGCTTACCTTACCTCATTCTCTTACTAGGTCTTTGGACCTCCTTTTAAATCGAAACAACAAAGTGATTTCAAATTTAGAGTGATATATTGCTGAAGGAGGCTCTGCATCATAGGTCTTTGGACCTCCTTTTAAATCGAAACAACAAAGTGATTTCAAATTTAGAGTGATATATTGCTGAAGGAGGCTCTGCATCATATTGATATAAACTGGAAAGATATAAGATAAGGTGTACCTTCAAGCATTTCATAAAATTAAAAACATTCACAAGTTAACACATATTATTAGCTTCCATGGTCGTTAATTGAATTCTATCATTTGATATTTAAAAATTTCCATGAATTGCACCTCATCAAGTATGTCTAGTAAACCATTTGAAAATTGGAAACATTCGGCATTTTTCAATTTTTAGCATTTTGAAAGATGATCATGAATGTGTATCTTACATGGAATTGTAATTTTGCAGAAAAATCAAGGTTCCAACTAGCCAAGTTACAATTGTTGATAGAGCAAGTTCTTTCAAACCTTGTAAGTTGTAATCCATTCATCTTGATTGACATGCATCCATCATGAAATGTCTCTTAGGGTCATATTAGCCAATCAAAGGAAAATGTAAATTATTTTTCCTTTCCATGATGTATGGCGATAGCCTATAGTTGTGCGTAATTGTCAAAATATTGTACACATTTTTAATCAAAGTTGCTGGATTTGGATTCCCTACAATCATATTCTCTCTAGAAGTTACTAGATCTAATATTTGAAAATGATGGTCGGAACCCACCAACTTTTGGTGAGAAACAAAAACAACATGACTACTGCTCTTAGAATTAAGATTAGCAAGGGATCCAAGCATTCATATTTAATTTTCATATTTGTCTGAAGATTCAGCAATATTAAATCGGTGTTCAAGTTTCTAATTGAATTAATTATATTTTAGATTATAAGTGTTTTGATTTTCTTATTTGTAGTTGATGAATATGCGGTGCATGTACAAGTTAATTTAATTTTACTACTGCTTAATATTTGTTGGAACTTATTATCCATGAACAAATTATCTGTGGATTTTAATCTGTAAAAAAAGTGCAGCAAATATATTTCTTGTAATTTTTATGAAAAATTCACATAAAACCTACATGATATAAAGAAAATTCTAGTAGTATGATAAAGATGATTAAGTTTTTGTATCCATATGAAAATAAATCACAACTTAGTTTTATAATATCATAAATAAAATCTTAAATATCATTGAGAAATATATTTCTCAAATAGGCTAACATTAATATAATATTAATTTAATTATTCATATAATTAGTCATATTTAATTCATTGAATTAATTTATATAAAAAGATCAAAATAAGTTGGTGGCGGCAATTCGCTTTCTTTCTCCTATGTGTTTGAAAAGGAGATAAAACCATAAATTTGCTAAGCAGTTGCATGCATGCATACAACGCCTTGGACAAAACAAATAATTGATATTTTGGGGAAAGAAAAACATTCAATTTATTAATTACAAAGAGTTTTAAGACGAGTGAAATAAATAACGAATATGGTATTATTTATTATAGCATTTATAACTTTCTAGTTAGCACAATTTGCTAGCTAACCTTGAAATAATTACAAAATTGGGTGATTTTTTTTTTGTTTTTTGTGGACGCTAAACCAACAAACAAGTAACATTTGTTGAATTTAACTTTCGATCCTAACTTTTAAATATTGAATTACTAATTCATTATGTAAGATAAATGTTGTAGCTTAATGATATTTCAAAAGGCTCGAATCTTGTTTAATTAGTTTTACTTTCTTTATATTGTTTATATTAACTTGTCCAAGAGTTTTGTTAGCAAGTGGTGTTAGCTTGCTTGCACCTGCACTAGACTTGTCTCATGGTTGTCAGCTCCATACTATTTAAAAAAAAAACAAACAGAATCATTCCCTTTTATATCTAATTATACAATTTATTGATAGAAGTTTTGAAATATTCCATGCATACTCTTATTTAATAGAATTTAAATAATACAATTTATTATAGAAGTTTTTTGTAGTGTTCCCTCTAGTCTCTAAGAGACAAAATTTTGACATTAGTCTTCTATTATAGGGCCATACTAATTGACATGGCTAGCTTACTAGCTAGTCGATTGGTGCAATTTGTTGTTGAACTTAAAGGAAGGAAATGCATAAACGAAGACGAGCGGCAGAACATACCAATTTCGTTATTCATCTTAGGAAATTTATACAAAAAGACAAAGGTAAAGAATATATAGCATTGATGAAAAGAAAGCAAAACACACTTGTTTGCTGTAACTTGTAAAAAGCTTATACTACAAAAAAAAAGTCAATTTAGTCACCGAATATATCGACCGATTTTTTTCGGTCGCTAATAGCGACATAATTAGCTACCAAATCTAATTTGATTGCAGTTTTTATTTAGAGACTGAATTAGTGACAGAATATTTTTAGTAGCAATTTATCGGTCGCTAATTCTGTTGTTATTCAATTTGTATATTACATATCCTTTAGCAACCGAATAGCCACCAAATTGTATGTAAATTTGCGACTGAATTGGTTTCAGTGGCTAAAGTAGCAACGAAACAATTTCGGTCGCTAAAAACAATACAAAAATTTTATTTATAATAATGGTAGTGACCAAATGAAAATCGGTCGCTAAATGTTAACTTTTAAAAAAAATTTAAGAATATATTTTTTTAAAAAAGAAAGTAAATATAAAAATATATAATATTATTTTTATAATGATAAAAAAATTAATGATAAAAAATAAAAATCACGACCCTCCCAATAAAATTATTTTATTTTTAAAATAATACATATTATATAATTTAAAATAGATAATATACCATAATGTATTTAAAAATGAGAAACATAATGGTATAAAAGAAATTTAAATAATAATTTCTTTAATTGAATCTTTTAAAAAATTTGGACTAATTTGAATAATAATTTATCTATCAAATTTATTTATTTTTCTATTGAGAAATTTATTTCTCTTTTATCATACTTAATATTTTATTTTATTAGATAATATGAAAATACACAATTTATTGTGCTTTCTAATTTTGTTAAGGTAAAAAAACTTTTTTTTTTGTAAATCTTATTTTTTTCAATTATTACTTTAAAAGTTAGACTTAAACATCTAGTTTAGTTGATATAAACGTGTTAGTTCCATCAACTTAAAAATAATTAGTTTATATAAGGATTAATAAGAATTTATCAAACAAATCTAAAATCAATAAAAAAATTAGATGTTTCTTAAAAACAATTATTGTGTTAACTTAACAATAACCATCATAAAATTTTGAAATGCATTTTTTATTTAATTATTCATAAAAAATACTTTTAAATTAAGCATTCGCCAAAAAGATACTTTTAATTATTTTTTTTAATTTTATTAATTCATTGTCATTCTCTCAATTGATTAAAAAATAATAAATTAATGTTCAATTATTTTAATAAATAAAAATTATAAAATAAATTATATATATAAATATACACACCAATAACACGTGAATTATATTACTGATGGAATATTTTTGACAAATTTATATTTGTAAAAAATGTAAGAATTTTTGACAAAAATTGACAATCATATATTAAAAAAGATCATCAATAAAATTTTAAATATCTATATATCTATATATCTATATCTATATCTATATCTATATATATAGATATATACATAGAGAGAGAGAGAGAGAGAGAGAGAGAGAGAGAGAGAGAGAGAGAGAGAGAGAG